TAATAATATTACAAATAATATGTTTTGATTATATAATGGTTACAATAAATGTGATTAATATAATTATTATTTCCGCATAGGAAATATTACAATAAAATATGATTAATATACTATTATTTCCGTATAGGAAATATTACAAATATGATTAATTAATTTAGTGTTAGTTTAAATAGATTAGTGTTACATTTTTTTTTTTTTTATCTTTTATATTTTTTCTTTACATATATATTTATATTGGTTAGTATTAGTATTAGTATTTGGTTAGTATTTATGCATTATTTTTGAGAATTAATTAAGAATTTATATTCTTATTTAAAATTTATATTCTACCATTCCTCTTCTGATTCGTAGGGTTCTAATGTTTCCATTCTACTTATGTAACCCTCCCAAGCTTCCATTTTGCTTATGTAATCCTCCCATTCCTCTTTCAACCTTCCTCTTTCGGCATTCATATCACTTGGATATGAATCCTCAAACCATTTAATTTTTACATATGCCTCTTTTATCAATTTTTCCCTAACTTCATCAGTGTCGTCATAAAATATCTCCGGAGGGCTTTGATAATGTATTATTGTTGCCGTTCCTACTTCTTTTTTACTTTTTCTGTAATAATTTTTTTTTATTATTATTTACTATAATTATTATTTTATTTGTTTACTATATATATATATATATATATATATTATTACGTTTTTTTGCATATCCTAAATAACTTACTTGGGCTTATTATTTTTATTAAATAATTAAAAATACATTTAGTATACGTTACATCAGTCATAGGGTCATGGCAATATGTTACTTCATGCCCTTTTTTGCATAACATATCATGGGTCTCCTTTAGATTTAACATTCTCCCGTTCTTTTGCACATGCCCTATGTTAACTGAGTGTAACAATTTATTATTACTTACATCTATTAATTTTAAACTAAAATTATTATCATTGTTATCGCTATAAGTACTTATATCTAAAAAATTTTTTATTCCTGGTATCCTTAATTTTTTTATTATTTTTACATCCATAGTTCCACTACAGGTGACAATAATCGGTTGAGTATTGTCCGAAAACAGGTATTTAGAAATGAACGCCGAACCAAGACTAGTTGCCCCCTGGTGATTGATACTAATATCAATTTGCCCCAATAAAGGTTTCAACACGTCTGGTTTCTTTCGGAAAATTCCTTTTAAATACTGTTTCAGGGTGTTCAGATTCTTTTTATTGAACATCCTCAACTTATTGTCTCCTGTTAGTATGATCGGTCTCCCTTGCATCTTGACTGGCCTATATTTGTCCAAACTATGACACATTGACCCCGATACAAGTAGTAAGTCGTGCTTATTGATGTTGACAAATTCAAAATCAATAAATTACGAACTATTATTAACTATTATTAACTATTATTGATTTATCAAAATCAATTACGAACTTAATCTGGGAACTGAATAATACAATAATATTAATTAATTATATCAAATATGGATTACTATTATTAATTTAAATTTTTTTTTTAATTAATTTTTTTTTTTAATTTATATTCTCGTTAAAGTACTTCTTAACATTATTTTTATGTACTGTTACTCCCCTTCTACCTCTTTGAATAACAATATTTTCTTCCCCTATTATATCTATTACCTCGTATGGCCCTATCCATAACGATTCTAACTTATTTCTAGCAGTATTATCTTTTAATAATATTAAATCTTTTACATGTATATCAATAGAATTTTCTTTCTTATCATAACCTTGTTTTGATTTAATTTTTCGTGTGACTAGTTTTTCTCTCGCAATTTTGTGTGACTCTTGCATACTTTGTTTTAAATCATATAAATAATCATCATAATTATATCGCGGTTCAGGTTCAGATTTTAATTTTATCGGAATTTCTAACGTTCTTCCGTACACTAAAGCATATGGTTGAAAATTAGTTGATGTTCAGTTGAGTTATAAACGAAAAATGCATAAGGTAACAGATGGTCTTAAATTTTTAATTAAATTACTTAAATTTTTATCTACGTAATGTCTCAAGTATTCGGCTAATGTTCTATATGATCTTTCTAAACTTCCGTTTGTTTGTGGATGGAAAGGACTAGTATTTACTTTGTTGATTTTTAATAATCTGCAAACTTCACTAAATGTCTTACTAAGAAACTCAGTACCTTGATCGGTTAATATTGTCTCAGGTATTCCGTGAACACATACAAAATGTACTAAGAAAGCCTCTGCTACAGTATTAGCTTGATGATCCGGTATAGGTATTCCTAATGAGTATTTAGTTAAATCATCTTGCATAGTTGAAATGTAAGTATTACCTGATAAGGTAGTTCTTAAGGGTCCTACTATATCTAAGAATATTTTTTCAAACGGTCTCGAACTTGTTGAAGTAATTGCCAATGGTTGTTTTACATGTTTATTAGTTATTTTATTCTTTTGACATGACGTACAATTTTTTACGTAATTTTTAACATCTGATTTCATATTTCTCCATCTAAATTGATTTTGTATTTTCCTAATTGTTTTATTTATTCCCAAATGTCCCCCTAATTTTGAATCATGAAATTGTTTTAATATTTCTAATTTTTCTTCTTCCGTATATTCGACTTCGCCTGTGCATATTAATATCTGTATATCGGTTTGTCGAAATACGTATCGTATCATTGACCTAGTTATTTCCCATTCTAGGTTATCTGCCTGACCTAATTTATTCATTGCTAATTTTTTGATATCATTTTCCTCACAAAACTGTTTCAAGTTCACTAATGTCACATATATATTTTCATGCGTGGTTAATTGTTTATCTCTATTTTTAGTTACTAGGAACATTATATATCTATCTTCGTTTTTAAAATATTTAATATCTCCTATAATTTTACTCGGTGGCAATAATTGATTATTACTAAATTTTTCTTTTAATATTTTATTAATTCCTTTCTTAAAATTATATTTTTTAGCTATTTCCGATACTAAATTATACTCTACTGGTACGTTCATTAAGTCTCCTATTGTTTCATGTACTTTTCTATTTATAATTAATTGTGTTTTCATTTTATTAATAAAATTGGAATAATTGTCATCTGTGATTTCTGAAATTGTATACATTCGGCTTAATGCATCTACATTTGAATTTTGTACACCCGGTTTATATCTAATCTCATAATCGTACTCATCTAGTTGTATCCGCCAACGCGCTAATTTAGATAATGGATCTTTTAAATTAAATAACCATGTTAATGGTCTATGATCACTCAAAGTAATAAACTTCCTCCCGTACAAATAAGGTCGAAATTGTTTAACACCATATACTATTGCTAAACATTCTAATTCAGTGGTACTATAATTATTCTCACTTTTACTTAGAGTACGCGACGCATAAGCTATCGGTAAATCTTTTCCTATTTCTCCTTGTGATAGAATTGCTCCTAATGCTTTATTACTTGCATCAGTTGTTAAAATAAATGGTTTTGAAAAATCTGGATATTTTAAAATTGGTTCTGAACATAATGATTTTTTAAGTGAATCGAAAGATTTTTGACAATCTTCGGTCCATTCGAATTTAGTATCTTTTTTTAGTAAGTTTGTTAATGGTTTTGCCTTTGCACTATAAGATTCTATGAATTTACGATAATAACCTGATAATCCTAAAAATGATTTTATCCCCTTAACATTAGTTGGTTCCGGAAAATTTAGAACTGCCTTAACCTTTCTTTCGTCTGGTTTAATTCCGTGTTCTGATATTACATGACCTAAGTATACGCATTCTCGTGTTAAAAATTCGCATTTATCCGGTTGTATTTTTAAATTATGTTTTCTTAAACGTTCGAATACCTCTATTAATTTATGATTATGATCTCTTAAATCTTTTCCATATACGATTATGTCGTCTAAATATACTAAACATTTTATTCCGATTAATCCCGATAATACATTATTCATTAATCTCTGAAATGTGGCTGGTGACGTTTTCATGCCCATTGCCATTCTTTTAAAATGCCAATGACCTTGATTAGTCGAAAATGCTGTTAATTCGCGAGATGATTCGACAAGTGGTATTTGATAAAATCCCGATGTTAAATCTATGACGCTAAATAATTGACATTCGCCCAATTGATCTAGTATTTCAGTGATATTAGGAAGTGGATGAAATTCATTTAATGTTACTTTATTTAAAGCTCGAAAATCTACAACTATTCTATACTTTTGTTTTCCCGTTGCATCTATCTTTTTAGCTACTAATAAAAGTGGTGAATTCCAAGGACTTCGAGAAGGTTCGATAATTATAATGTGTGTTTTATATTATGTAACTACGCGGGACGCGACAAATATTATAAAACATAACAAAAATTAAATTACTCTAATCATAGAAAATTGTCCTAAATTTTGATTTTGTATAAAAACATGCTACAAGAAAAGATCATTAAAATTTAATATCTTTAAATCCTAACATATTTAGTAAAAAAGAAGCGAATTAAAAAAATTAGTTTCATTTGAGTTATAATTTTATAACTCTGACATTGCATACACATAACAATGATTATACAATAAAAGTAAACTTACCTAATTATTTCACTGTTATAAATGCTTAGAACTGACGATGTTGTAATTGTATGATCAAGACTTCTTTCACTGATTGCATCCCTCAAGAATGGTACATATAAGTCAAAACTAAGTAATTATTATTATTAGATTATTATTAAATATAATCGCTGAAAGTTTTTTCATGAAATAATCGCAGGTGATAGTCTTAAACAATAACCAATATGATAATGATTTATAATTTTAAAATGTAATCAGTAAACCGTTAAATACTCAAAATACATAAACACAGTATAGCCTAATTCATTGGCGTTAAATTCCTGGCAGTAAAAATTTTGATTCCGAACAGTTGGTGTTTCATGATAAAATGTTTTCTTATCATTTTTATCTCTTACTGACCCAAGCCTTACAATGATGCCATATGTAATCAATTCTTATGAGAAATTTTGTTTTCTTTCCATTGGTGCAATTGTTTTGATGATAATGTTATCGGTGATAATATTATTTTCCGTTGTTACCAAATTATATTCAAACGTTTCAACGTGGACGAATTATAAATTAATTTGCACAAATTTCGGTAAGTAATTTATATTTTATTGAGCTTGCACTTACTGTTTCTTACGTAAAATACTCTGATTGTTCTAAAAATGTCATTAGTTTAATTGTATTATTGTTACTTTTGGTGTTACGAGACTTTTATCTGATGATTCCATTTGGCGTCATTGAGTATATACGTATATAAATTACACTACTCATTTTCATTATTTTTTTTTTTTTAGTACATTTTTACAATGTATTGTATTGTTAGTTATGTATTCAACCATATTCG